CTCTCAGTTAAGATGTTTAAGATAATCTTCTCTTTGCATCAATATCACAGACTTTTGTATATTTACCGTCACTGGCATTCACGAAAAAGCATTGTGAGTATTTTGTCTATAATTAATCTGCATTTGTTCCCATCATGGCACAGATCTGTGTGATTCTGCTGAGCCTCCTGCTTTTGTATGACGTGTTCTTCGTCTTCATCACTCCTTTCTTCACAAAGGTATGAGCGTGTTTTTGGTTGTGTGTTTGTTTGTTTGTTTGTTTGTTTTCCCTCGGAGCTGGAGCATTTTCGAAAACAACTTCAAATGTGTTCTTAGTTCAACCCCTTGTTGCCTCAAATGGTGTTGGCATCTAGTTGACATACTTCGCTGATACACAAATACACATTGTTATTGAAAAGAGTGATGCTTTGTAATAATAATAATACATTACATTTATATAGCGCTTTACAAGCAAGTAAAGCAGAAAAAAGATAACAACAATACGAACTGTACAGACAACTACATAAATAAAAACACCTAATATCATTCAATAGGAGATGTTTAAGCAGCTCCTTCAAAAAACGAACCATAGCATTCAAGCCAAAAGGTTACATACAGACAAATCACAGAAACATTGTTATTTATATCACAGTGCGCACCCACAACATACGCTAGCTATCAACTTTAAATATGGCGCACCTTTGAAACATTTATGCCCAATGTTGCCTATAAATAGCTAATGAAACATCCCTGACAAGTGTGTATACTAAAGAGTAACATGATATGAATGTTTGGCTTCCTCTATCAACAGAATGGAGTGAGCATCATGGTGCAGGTGGCTCTGGGCCCGGATGCATCGGGAGAGAAGGTGAGCCTGTTGGGGAACTCCACCAAATGCACAAATATCTAATTCCACATTCATTCCTTTCACTTTTGTCATGACTGATGAGTGGTTTAAAAACAAAAATGAATGCACAGCCTGTTTTGTTGTTGTTGTAAATATCTAGAGTCATGACAGAAATATATGAGTGCTTTAGATTTGAGGAACATTACTGAAAACAGGCACTTCTTACTCTCCTGGGATCGCTTTTTCAGTGCCGATAGCCAAGATTGTTTACTTTATTCGGAGACTGAGATAATAATTATAGAGTACATTTGTTTTCAAGTCGTGGACAACAAGCTCAAAGCTACGTTTGGTGGAACTCCCCTTCACTCTGTCGTGGCTTCATTAACACCCGTCGTGCTTTGCTCTGCTTGTTGTCCACGCCCTGAGCGCCCGACAGACTGATTGACTAACTGTGTGTTGGGGTTGGGTGGGCTCTGTCGTAGACGCAAGGTAACATGGTGGAGGTCCCGGCTGAACCCCAGGCTCCCTCTGAGAAAGTAAGGCTTGATTTGTTCACCACCCACTTCTTCTCTTAAAGCCACACCATGAGGTGGGTGGGAAGGGATTGGGGTTGTAGAAGTGTACTTTGTCAAAGTTTAGTATCAAATCGAATTTCAAATGACTCAATAAAAGATCAGCACATGGCGCTTTTCTGTTGCTACAATGTTACGATACAAACAAACGATGCTGCGTTGATTTATTTTCTCCATCCCTACTGCCCACCCTGCCCTTTGTTTTTAATTATAAACAACCGTTGCCTATTACCTGCCTCCTTTAGAAAACAAAGTGCCATATGTACCATACGCTTTTTATTTAAAGTAAAATGTGAAGCAAGGGAGAGAAAAACACACTTAGGGTTCTCAAGTTGCATTTTCTCAACACTGCTCAAGCATAATCAGTTTATTAGCAATTTTTTTTATATTTCTAGTGGGCGCCTTCAAGGGGGTTTAAAATAAAAGAGTCTTCATTTATATTCCATTTGGGTAAACACTGATTTAGCATGAAAGTGTTTTTCTTCAGTTAGAGGTACCAGGAGGTTTCAGTAAAGGAATTGTAAGCAATTGCTGGATAACTGAAGCAGTGCTTCTCCCAGGATTCCTCATGAAACACAGCTTATGATGGTGGATCTTAGGTTTCCTCTGGGACATTGTTACTACAGAAGTAAACATCTGTGTGCCCAGAGCAAAAATAATTTTCAGCAAGGTATTCTGTGAACCTTTAGATGGTATGTTTGTGAGTATTTGTGACTGCCGTTCAGACTTTTGAGAGCAGTTCATACAACCATTGTTTACTTACCTGAAATCTCTTGATATCTTATTATGTGAACCGAAAGATAGACCAAATATATTCAGTCAAATTGGGATAGCCGTCTAACAAGTAACATGTAATGTAATGTAAATAGCCAAGGTGTACCTGAGATGGCAAACAGATGACAGTAAGAAAATATTAAAGCAATATACTGTAGACTAAAATGTCAGCTTTGAGTGATAGTATGTAGAGTGGAGAATTGGGTTTAAGTAGTATAACAC